GTTTTGATAATCCTGTGCCTACATGTTCTTCAATGGCAAAACTGGTACACAACGTGGTCTTCAGCTGTTGTAGCCCATTTGAGACAAAGTCTAATAAGTGATGCATTCTGAGATGACATTTTGCACACCAGCATTGAATCTGGATGTGATTTGCCTGATTGCGGTTTGTCACTTTTTTCTTTTCACACCATTCATGCAAAACCCTCCCTCAAAGCATGTTGTGTGTAACAAGCCTAGGACAATGCAGCTTGGAAAATGCTAAAATCAGCACACCTACCATCACATTCCTGTAAAAACAACTGCTCATGCTAGAAACACTGGTGCACCTTGTGATGTGGTAAGGCGAGGCCTACCCCATCACCAATGAATACCATCCCTTGCACTGTAAAATATGTGTGTGTATATGGATGTACTTACCTGTGTCTGCCTGTGAAAGGAGAAATAGCAAAAGGGGGACAGCAGGGAGACCTACGTACCTTATCCTTATCGGGAGGATCCACCGATGGGGAGAAAAGGGGGGGGGGGTCTATTCCTCATCTAATATTCTGTCGGGGGAAAAAGAAAATAATTAAGTTGTTATAAGTTAATGGGCCCAGACAATGTATATACCGGTAATGAACTGTTTAACCTAGGTTGACTGTGTATATCACTATTGTTTGTTTCATGTGTAAACCACACTGTTCTGACCTCATGGTGGGGAATGGGATCTCCGAGGGTGGGGCTTTAGACTTAAAACCCGAGGGTTCCTCGGAGAGAGAGGCTACTTCTCCCCATGACTCTGTTTGCCACAGTGGACACTAGCTGCTTGTAGTGACTAATGTAATGGTGTGGGGGAAGTTTTAAAAGTGAGTAGGCATGACTAAGCCTGACGCTTAGTATATATTGTACTTTACCTTCTGTTTATTTTTCGCTTTGTACAGTTTTTGTTTCCTGTTTTCACGTTGTGTAAATAAACTACTTGCTTGTGCACTCTACTTTTGGTCTCACCCTCACAGACCTTACCAGTAAGCCACACGTAAAATCCAAAATCCTTTTCTCGGGGTTTAACATCTTCACACACCTAGTACCTAGTATACCACACACACCACAGTCACATGACTTGTTAGAATCCAAAATGTGTGTTAAGGTGTGGTGTATAGTTAATAAACTGCCAGTTCTTTGTATACTGAAGCATGCACTGATTACACTCAAATACTGGAACGTGTACTTTAAACATATACACCAACCTGGTAGTGCTCAGGGACTACTGATGGGTAGCAAGCCTCCCTTCCAAACATAAGGTAGTACGGTGAGAATTTTTTTGTAATTTGCTTTTTGGTGAGCAGTCCAAACATCACTGCATCAAGATACTCATCCCAAGTGTCTGGCCTCTTTCCCACCAGTTTGCTCAGGGCACTAAAAACAAACCACTTAACTTACTTACAACTACTTACTTGTAATTAGCATTTCCTGAACAAGTATATTATCAAAATAAAATGTATGTTGATACTATGAATTATGTCTAAATGCACTTATGTAGGAACAAAAAAGCTGCTTTGTCCTAACCTCTGAATTGACCCATTCATCCTCTCCACCAAGCCATTTGTTTGAGGATGATATGAAGAGCACAGACTTCTTTTTATGCCCAACTTCTCACAAACTTTCTTGTTGATCTTTTAATAATAAAGCACACAATATAAACAAAGAAACAATTTATATAGACTGCAGTATGTGTCTAATTAACATTCTTTTGCTTTATAAGACTATTTAAACATGACATACAACATTTTATTTTGGGACAGAAAGTCAGTCCAAGGTTACTGCATTGGCAAACTCCCAGCCCTGGTCAGTGAGGATCCTCTTTGGTGGAAGAATTTGACAATGCACTCTGTCACTTCATCTGCACACTTGGACCTCAATGGATAGGCTTGTGGCCATTTAGTGAGGTAGTCAACCAGTACACAAATGTACTAATACCCTCTCTTGGTTGAGACCAGTTTACCAATTAAGTCTATACCAATCAGCTCAAAAGGCTGTGCTACCTTGAAAGACAGATTGAAGAATATCACTACAAGCAGTCTTTGAATTTCATTGCTGGGTGTCAATAGAAACTTTAATGTAATTATGGAAGATGTGAACATGTGGCTGTTAATTTTCAGATAGCATGTTAGCCCCTCATTCTGACAATAACTCAAGTTCAACAAGATGGAAGAGCATAGTTTAGAGCAGTTCTCAACTTCAGTCCTACAGACCCCCCTGCCTTGCAGAGTTGCAACAGTTCCTTGCACCCAAAGCACCTGATCTGAACAAACCACATTTACCTTAATGGGAGTATATTCACCACTTGTTTTATTATGTTCTGGCTGGCCTGATACAACAAACACTCTGACACCTGTACAACAAATTTGTATACATTTTATAAAAACATACTGTAACACCCCTTTACAACTCACTTACATTTTTACAATATACAGTAATGTGCAAAAGTTATTCAGTTTTCAGTGTCAGGAAAAGGCAGTAAACATGTTTAACAGAAATCTTTTAAATTGTTAAAAACTTTCAATACAAAATATGCCTTATTTATTTCTTTGTATTCACATCATGTTTAGTAATACATGAATGTAAATGACAATTAATTAATCACTATGTACCTTTAATTCAGTGTATTCACATGAAAAAATCCAATTAAGATCTGTAGTGACATAACTGTTGGAATCTTCTTCTTCTGAATCCTTTAACTTTGCTGAATGGATCTGTAGAATGCTGAAATGGAAGTTTTGGAATGAACATCTCACTGCAAATATGTTTACTGCACTCCAGACGCACTCAAAGCTCATACAACTGTTGGAGTGCAGGATAATTTTCAACCAGAAAACGTCTTAAGAGATGAAAACGGCTCCCGAATGGTGCAACCGTCTAAGTGTCGGCCCTATCATCAGGAGATCGTGAGTTCGATCCCTGGTGATGCTACAGCCATCCGTAGCATCACCATCCGGCCGAGTGCTGCATGCAGAAGCAGTTGGCGTGGCCTCGGTTTGAATCTAGGGCCGATTGCGGTCCAATTGCTTGACTCACATGTTTAACAGAAATCTTTTAAATTGTTAAAAACTTTCAATACAAAATATGCCTTATTTATTTCTTTATATTCACATCATGTTTAGTAATACATGAATGTGAATGACAATTAATTAATCACTATGTACCTTTAATTCAATGTATTCACATGAAAAAATCCAATTAAGATCTGTAGTGACATAACTGTTGGAATCTTCTTCTTCTGAATCCTTTAACTTTGCTGAATGAATCTGTAGAATGCTGAAATGGAAGTTTTAGAATGAACATCTCACTGCAAATATGTTTACTGCACTCCAGACGCACTCAAAGCTCGTACAACTGTTGGAGTGCAGGATAATTTTCAACCTGAAAACGTCTTAAGAGATGAAAGCAGCTCCCGAATGGTGCAACCGTCTAAGTGTCGGCCCTATCATCAGGAGATCGTGAGTTCGATCCCTGGTGATGCTACAGCCATCCGTAGTATCACCATCTGGCCGAGTGCTTCATGCAGAAGTAGTTGGCGTGGCCTTGGTTTGAATCTAGGGCCGATTGCGGTCCAGTTGCTCGGCTCACATGTTTAACAGAAATCTTTTAAATTGTTAAAAACTTTCAATACAAAATATGCCTTATTTATTTCTTTATATTCACATCATGTTTAGTAATACATGAATGTGAATGACAATTAATTAATCACTATGTACCTTTAATTCAATGTATTCACATGAAAAGGGCCGATTGCGGTCCAATTGCTCGGTTCACATCCAGGCCGAGTACTGTCAGCCAGTATTTATTTGATCAGCCCACGTCCGGCCCAAATGATTGGCCCACATCTGGGCCAAGTACTGCGTGCTGTGATACTCGGCACAGCCTCGGTTTGAATCTAGGCCCAATTCTGGCACAAATGCTCAGCTCACATCCGGGCGGAGTACCGCGAGCTGGTATTTATTTGATCGGCCCACGTCCAGCCCGAATGACTGGCCAGTGTCCAGGCCGTGTATTGCGTGCTGTGACACTTCGCACAGCCTTGGTTTGAATCTAGGTCTGATACCATATGCTGTGATATTCAACAATCCACTGGAGAACCCCTGCTCTGCACATTTGAGTGTTTTCCCTGCTCTAACTCACCCACCTCAAGAAAGGAAAGTTTTGTTAATGAGATGACTAGTTGGGATCAGGTGTGTAAAGAGTAGGGAAAACACGAAGGGGGCAGGGGAGGCTCCAGGACCAGGGCTGGGAAACACTACTTTACACTCTAAAATATAAAATTAAATGACTAGTCACGCTCCCTACTAGAGAATCTTTAGATTGCAAGTGATTTCCAAAGCCATGCCCACGTGCTTTACATTTTAGTAAAAATCAAGCTGTTTCCATTGTTATAGTAGAGTTTTCATTACTCAATTACCCACCAGCCGACTTGAGCTGTACAGAAAACAAGGGCAATTTACTGTTGCCTACCTGCTTTTAAAGGCCCCATAATAGAGCTGGACAGTGACTGCCCACTTTTTAGCAGCTCTGGTTATGAAAGTAAAAATCCCATTAATTTCCTCCACAGACATTTTTTAAAATCCTTTCTCTTTAGTATTTTTATAGATATTATGCTTCTAATATTGTAGACAGTAAGAGTCTTATGCACATATAATGTTTGATGTGCATCATTATAGCTTTAACAGTCCGTTTATTCTGTTTTTGCTATCACGTTTTTTTTAGAAGTCATGGTACAGTTTATTTACCTCCACAAGAATTATATTAATCCTAATATGGCCTTTCTTCTTATTTTACTCATTGATTTGGCACCTAAGGACAAATATAATCACTGAAAGGGAGCCTGAAGGGTGGAGAAAATTTGACTGTCCTCCTTTAAATTTGTAGATTATCAGCTTGTTAAAAAGGGCCGTTGGGGGACTTTAATTTTGCCTTTGAACGACTTGTTCATGTTCAGCCCGCCTACCTGTGCTTTCGGCCAATCGGAGTGCAGCACAGAGCATTCTGGGTTTGTAGGTTGGTCTGTGTTGTTAGATGATAGTGGAGGAAATGCAAGAATTCGTCGAGGTTTTGGGATTGTTTGGCCGTGGGATTTACCCCCTCTTTTCAATGTGTTGTGTGCGTACATTTAAATGTAAGTATGTAAGTTCACTTTGTTCATTTCAAGTTTAGCGTTATCCATTACTTCTAAACGTTTGGTCGGCATAGTTTGGCAGTATGTCTGTATCACTAACTACCTGCATATGCTTATTATGGTATGGTGTGTTGTCTTGCCATTTTTGAATGTATGGTTTGCATACAGTGCTAGAAGTGTACCACAGTGTAAATTTAAGTGTTTAGCGCCATCTGCTGTAACAAGTTCGCCAAAGCTTGAGAAGTTTCAGTCATGACTCAGCTAAAATTATGTACACAGTAATGCGCATATAGAGCGCTTTAAGTTGATCTGCTCAGCGAATTCCTTAAATGATGGTCTTACAGAAGCATTATAGTGTCTGCATTCGTTGTTCCTGGTGTCATATAATATTTTTGTACATATTTTTATGTATGCTATTGTGTATATTTGTTTGTTCTAGAACCACACACACCCACTTTGACACATTAAAGGGAATCAGTTGGATTCAAGTTGGTGGTGGCTCTCTGTAAGGCATTAGAGAAGCGTCCTGACCCGACGCCCTGTAGTGATTCCAAACGTCCCTGAACTGGCCAGCAGTTTAAACCTTTAAGTAATTTTCACAGCTTATCAGCTAACAGAGTAGGCTAGGATACTGAATTAGCAACACATTGACGACGAACAGCCTATTAATTGTAAATTCCCTTCTTTTAATGCCATTTACTTCAACATTGAGGAATTATAGAAAAGGCTTCTAAACGTGGGTTTGGGGAAGTTAAATATTAGTTAAATATGCGTAATTGTAAAGTGATGAGTGAAAGGAGAAGGTGAGAGGATATGCTTTTTGGAGTATGAGCTAACATCACACAATAATAAGGAAGAGAGCTTTTAGTGATATATTGCTGATGTGACTTTAGCGTGCATATTTGAGACATCTGAACAATTAACAAAAACGTAACTTGTGTATTGAGTGTTTGTAGGCTTTGTGATTCCGCTGATTATTAATGTTACCTGTCTACATGGTGAGTTTAAAATAGGCCAGCAGTTTTGAAAAATGAATCACACAAGACTAAATGGGGAATCACAATGAATACTAAAATATTATATTACTGTACTATATAAATAATTATACTAAATATGTATTCTGTTATTGCATTATATTTATATTGTACTTGTAAGTAATTTTGTTAGTTTGTTAGTGCTGAGTGGACCGTGGTGAGATGAAAAACACAACAACATATTTTTTAAATATGCCAGCAACAAGGAATCATATTAATGTTTATTATATTGCCATATTATATAATGAACTGAACTTAACATATATATATATATATATGTGTGTGTATATTTTACTCAGGCTGCTGAGTAGTGATGTTGGCTGGGTGCCGGGAGGTGGAAGAGTAGCGATGTTGGCTGGGAGCTGGGAGGTGGAAGAGTAGCGATGTTGTTTGGGGGATGCTGGATGTTGAAGCTTAGCTACTGTTGTTCCTTTTCACCTTTTTGGATTGGCTCTTGCTTCCAAGATGGCTATCTTTTAGGTGTAGTTTTTTTCTTTCATTTTGTATTGTTGTTGTCTCAATTCTTAACCGTATGAATCTTCTAATGATTTTTTCTTGTACTCCACAGCAAGAGGGAAGCCTGCTGGAGAGTGCCTGAGCTTCTTTCTCCAAGACACTCACTGCGTTGAGAAGTCATATGCTTCTTGGGAGGGATGACAAAGAGTGCCTGCCTTGAACTCTTTTAAGTTCACTAAGATGCTGTATTTTTCAGCTGGACTGTCATCTTTGTGCTGTGTTGCAATTTTGCATTTTTCACAGATGCTTGCAAACTTGACTTTGTGGACGATGTAGCCTGCAAGATGGAAGAGAACACATTTCTCTGTTTTTGTGAGGTCAGTTGCAGCTCTGTTCACTGCCATCAGCTGTTCCACTCTGACTGACGGAGTGATATTTTGCTCCACTGTATCCAGGAAGTCTGCCAAAAAGCTGCTGTCATCTTCCTGGTAGCTCCCAGACCTGATGGTGGTGAGGAACTGCCTCACAGATATGATTCGCAGTGCATGATGGAATTCCACTGGAGTTGGGACAGGATTTTTAGATCTCACACAGCTGGATGTATTTTCAAGGCAGTCTTGTGTGAACCTTGATGTTAACACAAACCTGTGTCCTCGTGTCAGCATCTCCTCCTGTATGGCTAAAACTGATGATGTTGCCATTATTATCCCAGTCTGAACAGGCTTCCAGCCTCCCTTTTGACCAATCTTTATCCCACGGAAAAGATGGACGATGTCTTGGAGGAAGGTGATGGCCTTTTGGTACTCCTTCATCTTGAGCCTGCTCAGGGCTGTAATTGGATGGCGAGATGACATAAGGTCAAACCAATGATCAACTTGCTCCAGGAGCCATGCCGTAGTCATGTAGGACAGAGGGCGGTTTTCTTGCTGCACCATGTATTTCAGCCCAGCACTTGTTGCTTTACTGAATACATTTAGAGCAGGACCAGCCTTCATCTTCTCAAAGTGACTTGGTTCGATGGCTGCAGCTGATAGATGGGGAGCTATTTTTAATGCCATCCCTTCTTGAAAAGTTAGCAAGTCCTTAATAGGAACCACTGAAACCTTGTTAGAAAGGAGCTTCTCTTTGTTTACAATGTCCTCAGGGATTCTTAACACCTGTCCACGGACAAGGGCACTTTTAGATTTTTTACCAGATGTGTTGCTGGATGTGGCACTGAGGTTTTATTGTGGTCAACTCCAAAGGATTTCCACATGGCCTGGTTAGGGCTACCCATGTCGGTGGTGACATTAAGCACATGCAGCCCTATGGATGCTGCCCTCTGTATTATTTCAATTATTATTGGCCTGTACTCTGCTCCATTGGTAGAACTGCCACTGTAATGATATGCCACTACTTGTTTCCACCGTGTTGTGCTTCCCGCCAACATAAACACACAGGCATGTGTTGCTACTCCTGTGTGACCTGGTAAGGTCACGTCACCATACAGTTTGCCAGTAAGCATGTGCAACTCCACACTTGGTGTGATGGCCATTTCATCCAAGGTCAACACACACTCCCTTTCAAGCTCTGTCAATCCGTCTATCTTCAGTTTTAGGAAATCAAAGACCTCTGTCAACACACCAGACTCAAATTTAACACACTGCATCCTTCACTGCAGGGTTCTTATTCCTGGCAGGGGAATCTGCAATTCCTGCAGGGTAATTATTAAGAGTTTTTACTCATTATACCTGTGTCACCCACCTGTAACACTATAGCTGTGATCAGCAGCTATAGGCTCTATATTTACAGGTCCAGTGGTGCATCGTGGCATAGGGGCCCTCCTTTTTTTCATCATGGGGCGATGCACAAAGATGGTGGGAATAGCATCTGCTCTCAGCCTAATCTTGCCCTTTTTGGTCTTGACAAACTGGTCTGCCTCAAAATGTGCCTGCAGAATGATGTGAGTTTACTTCCCACACACAACTCAGTTTTGCCTATTCGCATACACATCAGTAACTAATGCCACTTGTCATACTTTGTTAAACATCAGCAGTAAAAGCTGTGGATGATCACAACTAGCTACCAAAGTAGAAATTAGCATTTCCATAAGATGAATTGTTAAACCAAACAATGTGTTGCTCTTGAAACTAGTATTAGCATCACTAAGATGAGTGAGTTTGTAGCCGGCTAACATGGGAACCCCCGAATACATGGGGGGTATTTTGCGCATCGGGTGTGTCTAACCCTTTCTCCTCTTTTTCTGTATCTCACTCTCTGTTCAGCACAAGTACCACATGGGCGTTCAGTGGAGCCTTAAGACTGCCTGCAATGAGACGGCACCCTCACCCTGTACCAACCCTGCTGCAATTTTTTCACTGTTGCTTATTTTTAATAAACCAAACCTTGTCTCCCAATGGTGTGGTCTTTGTTTGTGAAAAGTGCAAAAGCAGTGTTTAAATATGATTACCTCACACATTTTTTTGCTGTTATAATCTTTAGTAATGGTAAGATTACTCCTGCTGACTTGAGCCAACCATTTTTTTCTCCTTTCCATGTCAGTAGAGAAACTGTACATTTTCACTCCCTTCTCTGAGCGACTGGAGCATCCCCATGCAGCACAGCAAACCATGGTGGAGACTATATGCAAGGACAGCACAGACAAACTGCTTAACATGTTATGCATATCTAATTTATTTAATGAATCCATTGCAGTAAATAAGTGCATGGTAAAAAGACATGATACACAAATTATATGTTTATATGTGTACAAACATATAAAATATGTGTTTTGTGATGTGTTTTAATGTACCCTTTTTAATGGCAGATTACTGCATACGCAAGCCAAAGAGAAATTTTTTTGGCTCCTCACTTCTGTCCTTTCTGAAAACCATAAAGTTTACATTAGTCATCAAGATTATTTATCTTAGTTATCACGGGTTTACCTAAAGCAACATGAATAAAGGATATGTTAGTAGTAGAAAATTAGTCAGATCTGAATTTTAAAACATTCCTTTTTTTTCCCTCACACTAAACATATCAACAAACATTAGGATATGATTGGTCTTGACTACCATACAAGTTTAAGAAAACAATACCCTAGAAAAGAATTAAAGCAATAAACAACAGCAACACGCTATGTAATCATGGCAACAGTAGCCTAAAATATGTCAACAAGGCAAGTAACGCTTCTGTTCACGCTAATCCTTGTGGCCAGTTTTACTTTAAAAAAGCATACTGAAATAACTGCATAAACATGTAAGTGTGCTATATCAATATTGTAAATCAAAACATTTATTGACTATAAATTACGAAAAATCGCAGTTCTGTCTCTCTATGTTTACACGTTCAAATTGCCCGCCAAGAACTTCCTGGAACTATCTGGAGTCTACATGAGTCACGTGACCCTCAAGCATTTTGAACTTCCGTTGACGCTCTCTCTATACGGCTCTGGCTAAACCATACTGTTTAAATCGCCATGGTAACAGAGATCTCTCTGATTGGTGGAGCTCTCTTTAGGACGTATGGGTAATGTATTTGTTTACTAGAATTAAGGGACTAAAACGCGATTTTTCGGAAACGAAGCTGAAAGCGGACTGATTCATGGCTTTAATTGGAGCATACCATTATCTCACAACCTCGTAGCTCAAAGTCTACATTGGCTTGATAAAAATCTAATTCCCTTTGGTGATTATGAATGGGATTTTTGTTTCCACAACCAGACTGTTCTCAGCTCTATAACTTAATGTTTAAACAGTAACAGTGAATAAAACATTATGTGTATATATTATTTAATATTACTTGTTACCTTTTTCTGAACCTGTTTCCCAGGCGAAAACGAGGATAAGAGGATCTTCCTCTCCTGGGCTGGTGCTAGCTTCTTTAGGGTAATGCCCAGTCACTTTAGCCTGCTCTTACTGCATCGAGTCACACTGAAGCGAATACAAGTTCTAAAGCACGTCGGCATTTATTTTCGGTTCATGCACTCAACCTAAACTTAAGGTAAAGTAAAATAAACAGAGGGAAGAGGGAAGAGCTATGTGGTATGCAAAGCTAGCATTACAGAACATAGCAGAGAGAATTAACAGTCAGCTAGTCCCCCTCTAGTTCTGTTGGTTATTTAATAGAAGGAAGGCTGAAGTAATGAACTTTATCGTATGCACCGTAAGGTATACCTTCATGTTGATTTTAAGTAGCTAAAGTAGCTAGGTACCCAGCTAGCTAACATTAACTTCACTGTAAAATGCCTGGGAATACAAAATGGATTTCTGCATTTTTGAACCATTATGGTAATTAGCTAGCGAATCTGGATGTGATAACCCTTATAAATGAATTAGAAACCTTTAAAACTAAGTATTTACAGAAATCGTGCTGCAATGTGTGTGGATAATGCCAACTAGTTATATGCTATTCAAAGGACTTACTAAGTTAACCTTTTAATACAAAGCTTTTAATTAATTTTGCTAATATTAGATCCCTATTAGAAACTGTTTACAGTAATCTAAAGTCATTTTAACTTATGATATAACCATAATTAAACTTACTGAAAATTATGAAGCAGCCTCTCTTGAAAGGGGGAATTCCAATGAAGGTTTGGTCTTATCTGCGTTTTCGCGCCGATAACGCATCATCAGTGATATTTTTTGTATAAGCAGTGATTAAATAACCGTTTCCAAACAGAAATCCTTATTATTTTACCAAATTTTATTAGAATAAAATACAACATTGCAGTATTTGTTTCTTAATAATTCGGTGAGGATATATAATATTACTGCGATTGCAGACAGGCTGAATCTCAAATGGCTCCTTACTCCCTATGTAGTGCACTATATCAGTTAAGAAATTTTGACTTCTTCAATTATGTCCAGTAGGGAACTGTGCACACCTGCCTGAATCCCAACAGGCTCTTTGTAAGACATATTATGCACTGTTTGATTTCAGGAGCCGCTATTTCAAGACCTATGTAGTGCACTATGCAGGCACCTATGAATGCACACCTGGGTCACGTCAATACATACGGGAATCAGCCCGAGCCCCATTTGCAAGCTCTTGGGTTGCTGAGCATCACCCACACTCAGCCCAATTCAAGTTGGCTGACGACGAGTCTCAGCCGATGCTGCCACAGATCAGCCGAGCACGGGCTGAGTCTTCATGCTATCTGGGAGAGGAAGCCTGTGTTAGCCCTCACCCTCCTAGCGTTGATAGTATTGTGTGACTGGGGTAGTTCTGAACTGGAGATGAATAAATTGGGGAGAAAATTGGGTAAAAATCCCAACAAAAAAGAGATGAAAACGTGATATGTGCAATAAAACTAATGTAATGTCAATTTTTAGTTCCAAAACAAAGCAGAATCCTTCAACTTTGGTGAGTGAATGTGTAGAATGCTAAAATCGAAGAGCGTCTCACTGAAAAGGTGTTTGCTATACTCCAGAAGCCCTCATACACTCTTTGTAACAGCTTGAACACAGTACAATTATTTCAATGTGAAAACTTCGTTTTGTGTGAATATGGATTATTGTGAGATGAAGAAGTAATAAATGCAATAAAACTTATCTGATATCACGTTTTAATCAGAAACAATGCTGAATCCTTTATGTTTGATGAATATATCTGTAAAATGTTATTATCCACGGTTTTGGATCACTATCTCAGTGAAAAGTTGTTTAACTGAATGTCCTATAACACGTCTTCATGAGAGAAAAGCAAATACCTCAACCTGGGAGAATGATTGTGTCCAATGCTTAAATCGTCCTCTGGGGACTGAAAACTCTGGAAGCGCCCAAATGCTTTGTAACAGCTAGACTGCAGCACAATGTTATCTCAATGCGTTTTAAATTAATATGGACTATTGTGAGATGAAGAAGTGATACATGCAATCAAACTGATATAATATCACATTTTAATCAGAAACAATGCTGAATCCTTTAACTTTGCTGAATGAATCTGTATAATGCTGAAATGGAAGTTTTAGGATTAATATCTCACTGTATAGGAGCTTACTGCACTCCAGATGCACTCAAAGCTAAAACAACAGCTAGAGCGCAGGATCATATTGTCTCAATGTGAAAAAAACACAATTCCTTAGAACAGGAACTATAATATTGGAGAAGCGAGCTTGGAAGACCAGAGTTTTTCAATGAAAACCTGTCCCTCAGCCATGGTCAAAAGGAAATCCCAGGACCAGACAATTTAGCATTGCAAGAAAAAAGTGGGATGGGAGATTTAAGGCACAAGCCTATAAATCATGCAACAAAGAGCCAACATCTGAGAATAGAGAATATAAAATTTAGATTTTAACTCTGATGCCCAAGCCCAGGGTCTAGTACAAACTAGCACCCTTTACACTGGATATGTAGTTTCTTGTTTTTCAAAGTTACTGGCAGAAGTGCTGTTTTCCATTCTCTATTTTGATAGTCTTTTGCAGCTTTTACATTTTCAATTCACTGTTGCATATTATTTGCAATTAATTACAACAAGTGCAGCATGTTTAGGTATGCTTCTCTCTCCATCACTAGTGACAGCAGTGTTACTAGCTTTGTTTGTAGAAGTTAGTTTCGTGCTTGACGAATAAGATTATACAGAGGTGTGCATCCGGAAGTTAAAAAAGAGCAGTGCTTGTAAGCAGGGCTCAGACTCACCGTTAGAAGCTCATTCTGTGGAGCATGATATGCCTTTCAAAGGTATGTGACTTGCAAAATCTTGATTTGTTAACATTTTCTCTTTAGAATTTTGTACTTATGTTTGTTGATTACTCAGTCAGCAAAAATACGTCAAAAAAGTATACAATTTTTATCTCATAAGAAGTAGTCCCAAGTGTACACTGTAAAATGAAGACAAATAAATAACGTTATGATGCAATGTATGACAGTTGACAACAAATGGAACATGACCTGTTTGGAATCTGTAACACTATAAAAAGTAAATAGCTTAGAATGTATATAAAACAAATACAAAGAATCTATAATTGAAGATCACCGCGACCCAGAAGGATAAGCGGTTTAGATGATGTATGTATGTATGTATAATTGAAGATGTGTTGAAATGAGTTATGTATATTTACATTGCTTCAGCCTAGAAACAAGCAAAAGTCAAAAAGGTTTCATAACTTAATTGTAGAAGTGAGAAGCTGAACAGTTAAAACAAATAAAGACAGTTGAATAGTTTGATGTTATAAACGGAAAAGTGGAAGACATAATAAATCACTGGATGTGGACATTTGAAGAGAATGAGGTATGAAAAGAAGAGCTCTCAGGTTGTAGAGCAAAAGTTGATTTTGTGTATTTACCAAGATAAATGAATCTTTTAAATTACAGATATACAAGGCTTTGACAGCCTAAATGACTAGAAATGTGCAATTTTGCGTTTGAAAGTGTTACCAAATCCAGTGTTCGTTCATTTGTTTATTTATTTATTTA